TATATATATATATAAGCATTAAAGTTTAGGTGTTAAATTCGTAAATACATAATAATCGAGTTGTCCGTATATAAATCTTACATTTATCTATTTAAAAATATCATTAAAAAAAACACCAAATAAATTTATTTCTAATAATATAAAAATTAAAAATCATTTAAAACCACAACAATTTAGGCTACAGTATATGATTTCTAAAATTTTTTGTATTTTCAAATTTGTTTATTTTAATTTATACATTTAAAAAAAAATATCCGCCCACTCATTTTCGTATTTCCAAATATCATATTCATAAGAAATTTCATGAGAAATATGTTATCTTGTTACTGTTAGAAAAAAAAAAAAAGCAAATTTGAAAATTAAGAAATGAAAATGTTAAAATTATAATGTTAAAGCAATAATAATAAAAAAAAAATTCTAGAAAGGACAAGAGGACATGAATGTAAATACTATTTTACCCTTCAATGGGCAGGCACATGCTTGATATTTTAGCCACGGGATATCTGGTGGCTCTCATTAATGGGAAAAATATTACATCAGTATCACGTGGGAAAAATATTACATCAGTATCACGCATGTAGAGTAACGTGGGTCGCTAATGAAATCACGTCACGACACCCCACACGATAGAAAAAAAATGACGCGGTAACACGAGAAATATTCCTCCTGCGTTATTCATTTCATGTGTTATTGTGGTTATTGTGTCCTGGGAATATTCCTGGTATTATAATAACACAATAATACATCAATAACACATGAATAACATACAATAACATATGAATAACATGAGGAGAATATTCCCCAATGTTACCGCGTCGTTTTATCTCTGTCGTGAATATTCCCCGTGTTATTGTGGTGTTATTATGTGTTATTCATGTGTTATTGTGTCATGAGAATATTTTTTGTGTTACAATAATACAATAACACATCACTAACACATGAATAACTCACAATAACACATGAATAACACAGAGGGGGGGGGGGGGGGGGGGGGGGGGAATATTCCCTGTGTTGCCACATCATTTTTTTTCCTATCGCGTGGGGTGTCGTGGCGTGATTTCATTGGCTACGCACGTCACCCTACGCGCATAATACTGATGTAATAATTTTTCCTCATTAATGACATGGGCAATTTATGAAACAACCAAAGAAGTCATTTTACAATGTGTTAGCATCCAAATTAGAAATAAATGATTATAGCATTAATATACAAAAAAAAAAAACACAAGTATGACTCGTTTAAACTCATTTAATTTTCGTTCAGTAAAAATAAAAAAATTAATTTATATAAATTATGTAAATTAACTCCATTCAATTAATCAGCAATAATTGTTTTTAGATCTTGAACGATGCTCCTGAAATGTTTATGTATGTGCTATATAAGTATTAATTTATTTCTATAAATTTTGATAGATGAAAAAGTCGGCTTGCCATCCCCACCTCCTTACCTGGCCATCTCCTCCAGCTCTAACAAACCTGAAGCATTCCTCAATGGCGTTAACTTCGCCTCCGGTGGTGCTGGAATCTTAGACAGCACCCACAAAGTAATTACTTCTCTCAATCAATCCATATAAATATATATACACATACATAATGTGAAATATTATGTAAAATATTATGTAATGAAACAAAATTACAGGGCGAGTGCCTCTCCCTGAACAAACAAATAGACTACTTCTCCATTTTATATGCTTCAATTGTGGAGAAAAATGGAGCCGTTTCAGCAATTTCTCTCCTCTCCAACTCCATCTTCATCCTCATCATAGGAAGCAATGACATCTTTCTCTATCTCGGCAACATGAAGATCACTCCTCAGCAATTTTTAGCCTCTCTCATCTCCACTCTGCAATTACAGCTACAAGTAATTAAAAATATAATCACATCTCAATCAATTCTTGATCTTTCTCATCTCTGTTTCTAACATTTTCATTTATAACCAACCCATTCAGAAGATGTACAATCTCGGGGGCCGCAAATTTGTATTCGTGGGCACAGGTCCTCTAGGATGTTGCCCAGCTCTCAGAGTTCAGACTAAGACTGGGGATTGTAATGCAATGGCCAATTATGTGCTGATCTCTATAATGATGCAGCAATTTCTCTTCTGAAGATGATGAAGTCTCAGCTCAGTGACTTCAACTATTCCTTCTTGGACACCTGCCTTGCTCTGCTACAACTGATTCAGAACTCAGATAGTTATGGTATAACGAATTGGAATCCAACTTAGTCATAATAGAAAGCTTTGTTTGTGAAAAAGTTTCAATCTTTTCATCTTTAATGTGTAAGAAGTATATTAATATGTAGTTTGTTGCAGGATTTACGGAGGTGAAGGCAGCTTGCTGTGGGCTGGGAAACTTGAATGCAAAGTTGCCATGCTCGCCTATCTCTTTCGTCTGTCCAAACAGGAAAAACCATATATTCTGGGATTTATACCATCCGACGGAGGCCGCCGGCGAGATCATCGCCACAGATGCTGTTGATGGGGAGCCACCACTTGTTTATCCTTCGAATGTGAGGCAGTTGAACGCTCTTTGATCTGGGAGCATCTTTTAATGATGCTTCATTGTGAAATTGCGTTGGTTCAAAGTGGTGATAAGTTGAATTTTTGTTTGGCTCTATTGGGGATTATTAGGTGGTGTTTGGCAGCATATTAATAATAGGATTTAAGGATGGGTTTAGCTTAAATCCAACCAAAAACCAAAAAATCAAAGATTTAAAATAAATTTCCCAATGTTTGTAAATCTAAGATGCAGTCAAACACCGCCTTAGGATTTGGGATCATACATATAACTTTCAAGTTTATGTGAGATTTGATTTTGTGATCATGATTGGAATATATTCATTTGGTATGAATATGGTAAGATTTTATAAGTCAGAGAATTAGCGTCTTCTTGGTACAAATGTTGTTAATTTTGTTGATTTTGCTAGTTGGTTATTTTTATTTGAATTGGAATGATTTTACAATTTATATTTTTTATTGCCCCTTCATCAATCACACCCTTGATATTAATGCATGAACCAAATCATCAGGCACACAACCATCATTTCATTTATGGGGGGAAATTTATTATATTAATAAATTAGTTTAAAAAAAATGAAAAATGCAAAATTCAATATAAAAACTTGTATTTAATTATCTTTAAAAAATTAAACAATGATTAAAATATTTTATTCTACTCTGCAATTGATAGTATTGCATAAAAGGTTCCTTAGGAATCAAGTGAAATATTTATTTCTCAATGTATGGTAGAAAATAATTATTAAGTCAGTCATCACTCATTTGACTACGAAATTGATATTTGACAATTGTTATTACAGAAAAACTCTCTCAATTGCAACAATAGCAACTTGAAAAGTTAATGTTAATGCAATAAGTCTATAAAAAAGAAGATGCACACAATTCTTCTTAGCTTTAAAAAGTTGTTTCATAGGATCAACAATGTCTTATAAATTCCCATTAATTAGCTTTTGTCCATTATGATGTTGAATTTTTTGCTTGAAGCAGTGAATTTCTTTATTTGTTTTATATATATATATATATATATCTGTGTGTCTGTGTGTGTGTGCTTGATTCGGGACGATAGAGTTGTGAATTATTGTCTTAGCGCCATATTAGAATCCAAAGACACCCTCGTATGAATGAAGAAAATCAATAAGGACACCAAAAGTTATGCAAACAACCATTAAGGAGAAAAATCATAAGGTCTTGCCCATTCAAAATATTCACAATAAGTTGGTGATTGCACGTACAACCCATTGTCCCAAGGACGAGAAATGGTTACATAGTTTGTCAGGTTACAATGTCTATGTGCAAAAAAACTTGTTGCCCGATAGTTGGGAGAGTGTGGTGGCCAATGGTAGCTGATGGTGGCCTACGATAGGCGGTCGGAGTTGGTAGATGACGACGGTGGCCAGAGTCAGCTGGAGGCAATTAGAGGCGGCAGCGAAGACCAGAGCTAGCCGGAGGCAGAGTGTGCCAGAGCAGGTTGGAGGCAACAGAGGCTATAAGGGGCGGTGATAACAGCTAGATGTGGCAGCGGCGGGCAAAGTTGGTGGAGGCCAAAGGCAGCGACTGTTAGGGTAGGCCAGATTTACGGTGCAGGATGCCAGGCTACAACTCCCTCTTTTGCAGGCTTTGGTGTTCCCCTTGTCCATGGTGTAGTCCCCTTCTCAACAGGGGTATGACTCCCTTTATAGAGTCCAAATTATAATTAAGGGAGGAATCCAAACCACCTTTGATCGATTGATCAGGAGAGATTTTCTTCATCAAGCAATGTTCGCTGGATATTTGAGTGGATTAATGATGTCAAAATTGAGTGATCTTAAGCTCGTTGAATTTTTCTTGTCAAGGGAATTGATTTGAATGTAAGTTTGCTAGATTAGTAATCCGGCTGACCTTCCAATTATGCCAAAAATACTTCTAAAAGTGGTTTAAAGGCTTGATTTGACTCGGATTGAACCCGTTTAGTTATTGTTCGGTTCGTCTTGACTATAAGTTTGCTGAAATCGGAGTTCTGAATGACTTTTAATCGAAATTTTAATGTTTCTCTCTTAAAAATTTGACTCTAGATTTGTGTTGGATGATTGCATGTTGTCAGTGATGTATCATACTTTATCTTTGATATTGATACACATAGCAATGAAATCTTTAATATTACATAAAAATAATATTATTGTTATTTTTTAAATGTAAAATATAAATTTACATGTATATGTTTAAAACAACAATTGCTAATATGAATGTACACACATATGAAATGTTTAACACCCGCACAATTTCCCAATAAAATATATAGTATTGGAATTGACTTATAAATAAAACCCGCACAATAAAGTCATTTTTAACACTATTTATTAAATTTATTGAGATTATTCCCAAATTTAAAATGACTTTTTGAGCTCAAATTTGACCCGCCTTTGTATTAGACCGCGTAGTTACTGTCAACTTATTTAATACAGCTTTAAAGTTGAAATATTTTCATAAATAAATTTATATCTAAATGAATTTTAGCTTCAGCAAAATTATTATCAAATTGAATGTCTCAAGATGCATGTCAGAAAATTTGGGGCAGTAGAGTAGTAGATTATCATATTAACGTAGCACGAAGTTTCAGTACACACTCATAAGAGAGAAAACAACTGATAATAACGTTCAAAATTTTTACGTGGAAACCCAAAAAGAGAAAAATCACAGGGACTTGCATAGCTAAAGAGATACACTATAAAAAAATTATTACAGTTTCAATCACTTGTCCTACAAGTGAGAAAGAGTTATTAAGTTTCCCAAGTTACAACGTCGACATGCTGATGAATTTGTTGCCATGAACGGACAGTGACTGATAGCGATTGACGGAGTTCAGTTAGTACTGGCCGGCGGTGGTTGGCGGTGATCGACAATGGTCGGCGGTGGTCGACAAATATTGATGGTGGTCGACAGAGATTTTTGAGTGCATTGATGAATAAGCAATGAATCAAGGTCACTTTTGAAATTACGTTGTTTGACATTTTCCTATTTTCTTGAGATTCCTACATAAAGATTTTAATGCATTATTTGCTTTTATTTATTTAGTTATAATTATTTGTGTGTGAATCTTCATGAAAAATTAGCATGCAAAATTCTCTTATTATTATTTGCTAGTACAAAAAAAAGAAAATATTAGTTGATATACATCAACTCATAAACCTAAGATATCTTATTTAATATGATTTTTAATTTTTTTTTTTAAATGAGTAAATCACCCATTAAATGAGAGCCAAGCAAACACATCCCTGTTACTTTGAAGTCTTTTAAAAACCCAAACCAGAGATTGTTTATACCAGCTCATGTCGGCATCAGGAATAAGCACATTTAATATAATAAACGCGTGGAAATCGACGAGGTCTAAATCGAACCAGCAAAAGATGGCCAACTGTGTGAAAGCAAGTGGAAGCCCAATACCTGACAGATGAATGCGGCCCGCTCTCTTTTCTTTACATTGTCCAGAATGATTAAAGTGGCCCACTTCCATTATTGCCGTGTAGGGCCCATTACTCTTCCTCGCCCATTTAAATATACTCGCAAGCTATCTCCAGAATCGATCACTACGAATCTCTCTCTCTCTAAACTCTTAACTGGCTTTGCTTTATGGCTGCTGCACGTCTTCTTCTTTTGTTCTTCTTCTCTCTCGCTTGGAGTGAGGCATTCGGACAGAATGTGGTGCCGAAATCGGTGTATGTGTTTGGAGACTCATTGGCCGACGTGGGGAACAACAACCACCTCTCCACGCTTCTCAAAGCTGACTTTCCGCATAACGGCGTCGACTTCTCCGGCGGCAAGCCCACCGGCCGCTTTAGTAACGGCAAGAACGCCGTCGACTTTCTTGGTAATTCGTCTCTTCTTAATTAGTGTGCATTGAGATTATTTTTTCATACAATGTGTCATTGTCTTTTAAGGTCTATCTCTATATTTTTTAACACAAGTCTAATCTAAAATATCTATTCTGATCATCAAATGGTCAATGTTTAAGATGATCAAATCTTCTAAGACGTCTCTCTCTCATCTTGTCTGTCACTAGAGCAGCACCAAACCTTTCGCAGATAAATTCGTTTAACATTTTATTATTATGTATCAAGCCACTCATCCATCTAAGCATTCTCATCTAAGCAACACTAAACTTAATTGTATATTTCTCTTTTAAAGGCCAACAAAAAGAATTACAGGTCTCACCACCATCTTATAAAATTTTCTTTTAAGTCTAAGTATTACTTTTCTATCTCACAATTGACACGATGTATTTATGCTCTTCAACCAACCAACTTGAATTCTACTAATAACATCCCTATTTATATCACCCGCACTTTTGAACAATATACCAAGATAACTAAAATGTTCACACATTTTAATGATTTGATCTCCTATAATAACAAGTATGCCACTAGAACAACTACTATTAAAATTATATTCCATTATTCATGGCACCAGAGTGTGATCAAAATAAATCTTAAACTTTAAATATTTTATATGTCTAAATAAATATCACATAAGTTAAGTGGTATATATGCAGGGGTGGACCCAAGTAGGATAAGGGGGGCAATTGTCACCTCTCAAATTTAAATTATTTTACGAGGACAATTTAGATTTTTGCCCCTCTTTATTATATTGGTTTTGCCCCTTCCTCCCTCACAAAAGAGGTTGGTATATATGCAAACTTTTCTTTTTTGTTTTGAATAATTTTTGTAAAGCTTTATATAAACAAATGTCTAAAATATGCTTTCAAATACTGTATTTAATGGCGGATAAAATTCTTATCGTTGGATTGGAATATTAATAAAAAAACTGATACAAACAAATGTAAACCGAATTATATTTTAATTCAGAAACAAAAGGTTAGCATAATATATATATATATATATATATATATAAATATATTGAAATTAGATAAAAAAAAAGAAATTGTTTCTGTAAATGTGAACTAAAAATTAAACATATAAAAAAAAATTTATTAGGGGAGGATAATATTGAAGAGATTAGTGGGGTTGTTTGGTAGCATAATTTTAATAGTATTAATCATGAGTTTAATGTAAATCTAGCCAAATATTAAAATAAAAATTAAATCCAAATTTTATCGTATTTTATCTTTTTAAAAAAATACGATAAAATTTAACAGATTTTAAATTTTAAAATTTATTCATGTTGCAAGTATCATCATGGTTGTCATCCCAATTTAACAGATTTGCTGAATCCTATTTAATAGGGGTTACGGCTAAACACTGAAACACCTATTTACATAAGATTATATGTGTGTTTAGGCAGCTATGTTGTGGTGATGTTGTGTCGCATCATAATTCTTTTTGTTTGGTAAAATTGCATCTTCCCACCAGACCTGACTACCTGCGTTAGAAAGCCACGATTTGACATTTTCAAAAAAAAAAAAAAAGAAAAAAAAGTTGTAATAGCAACTTCTTCTTGAGCAGCTCCAAAGATGCTTCTTCATGCTTTTTGTTTTTATATTAGTTTCTGATTTTATATTTTTTAGATTTGACCCTACTGAACGCCGCATAAAATGTATAGTGGGCAACGGCTCACGGAGTGATTAAGTCCAGCAGATTGTGGGCCTCATGGGCTGGACTAATAAATAACCCATGAGCCAAACGAAATGTACCAACGTCCAATTTTAACCAATACAGGCTCCATTGGTTAGTTAAAAATGGCCACCAATTTATTAAATTTTTTTTAATATAATGTACACTTAATTTTTCTGAATTCAAATATTTTAGCTATAAAATTAAATAAATAACTAAAATTCTATCTCTTCTTTTTTAACTGCGTTCTGCTTTTTTCTTCTTCTTCTATGTCTTCTCATTCATTTTATAATTTAATTCAAGAAATTACTGGAATTGAATTTTTTTTTAAATAAGAAATAATATGCGTCATAAGCTTATATAAATTATAGAATTAAGCTCGACTGAGCCTATTAAACAGTCAAATAAGAACATGTTTAGTTTCTCCTCTAACATGAAGGAGAAAATTATTTGTAAAAAGCTAGAATGCAAAAAGAACATATTTTATGAAGCCCCAACCCATAAATTTTTTTCCTGAATTTCTCCAAAAAATTTGTAATTGTATAATTATATTAATACCCTTAATTATAACCTGCTCTGTATTTCTATTTTCTCTGAAATTCTACAGCTGATAAACTTGGCTTGCCATCCCCTCCACCTTACTTGTCCATCTCCTCAAACTCTAACAGCTCAGAGTTATTCCTCAATGGAGTCAATTTCGCCTCAGGCGGCGCCGGAGTCTTAGACACCACCAACAAAGTATATATTTTTCTTTTTTCGACACATTTTCCAAATACACCAATCACTCAACTTCAAAATATATTTTTTATAAAAATTCAAATTTGATTAATGAAGCTTAATACCGAACATATAGGGTGGCTGTCTTTCTCTGAACAAGCAAATATCATACTTCTCCGCCGCCTATGCATCAATGGTGGGGCAAATCGGAGCCGTCCAAACAGAGTCTCATCTCGCCAACTCCATCTTCGCCATTCTCATAGGAAGCAACGACATATTCTCCTATCTCAAGAACAGCAAAACCACACAATTCCAGTTTGTTGGTTCCCTCAGTTCAACTCTGCAATTACAGCTCAAGGTACATATAATAACATATAACCGCATCATCTTTGTCATCAAAATGCCATTTTTGCATTAGTTATATTACGTACTTGTGTAAATTATTTCATTTTTTCTGCAGAAAATGTACAATTATGGCGCTCGAAAGTTTGTGTTCATTGGTGTCGGTCCGCTTGGCTGCTGCCCAGCTCAGAGGAATCAGAACAAATCTGGAGATTGTAGAGTTTCAGCTAATTCTATTTCTGATCATTATAACCAAGCAGTAGCTTCTCTTCTTCAAGATATGAAATTGCAGCACAACGACATGAACTATTCCTTCTTCAACACCTCCCTCGCTTTGTCAGAACTCATTGATGACAGTGCAAATTATGGTATGATTTAGTATAATTGCAAACTTAACCTGAAATTTTTCAGTTAATATGTAAATTGTTAATGCAGGATTTACTGAGATAAAGGCCGCATGTTGCGGGCTGGGAAAGTTGAATGCTCAGGTGGCCTGTACACCCATCTCTCATCTATGCGCTAACAGAAGTAACCACATATTTTGGGATTTATACCATCCTACAGAGGCTGCCGCCGCAGTCCTTGTTTCTCACGTCGTCGACGGGACTTGGCCGCTTGTTTATCCTATGAATGCAAGGCAATTGGATGCAATTTGAGATTGGAGCATGTTGCAATATATCATTTATTTAGGGGTTTGCAAGTAAAGTTGGTCTCTGAAAATGTATTGATGGAAGCCAACTGTGAATGTTTGATTCGTTGTAAGAACTGATTGATTCAAGCATTGTTTTGTGTTTTTTTCTTCTTTGATTTGGATGTTCAATAAAATTGTATTATGATTGAAATGTAATGATTTGATATGAACAAAAGTTACCAATATGATGGAACTTTCTACAATTTGAATGAGTAGCTAAAATCAATTTAAAAATTATATGTTGGAACTTTCTGTAAAAAACTTCTATAGAAAAACATAAGAACTATTCTTAAGAATTCTCACCCTGCAGAGATATTTGAAGCGATGCAGACAATCATCATCATAAAGATGAATAAAGAACTCTTTCGCATTCATGAATATGATTTTTTTGATTATGACAACATTAAAAAAAAAAACTTTATGGTTTGTTGGATAATTGATGGGATTTAATGAGACTTTGACATAAATATTTTTAAAAAATAGTTAATTAACAATTTTGAAAACTTCCACTGTTTAAAAAAATGGTATTCATTACTTCAAGCATTTACTTATTGAGCCTTCAAGTCAATCTAAGGAATTTTTTTCTTAAATAGTTAATTAGTAATAGTTAATACTTGGAGTGAAGTTACTGTCCTACTTGATTACGCTTCCTTGATTAGAAAAAAGGTTAATTAATATTTTATATTAATTAAATCAATATATTATCATCAAATTAAATATTAAGCTCCTGAAATTATGTATGGATTGGGATACAGCCTTAAAATCTTAAATATTATCTCATTGTCATATAGATATAAACACGCGCGATTTTGAGGCATTTGCATGCATCAAGATATTTTTTGTAAGAGAAATTCCAAATTCAAATTCATGATCTTCCAAACTTTGATTTTATCAAATTTATAATAAAACTGAGTATCTCGATGAGACCAAACCAACGACTCTAAAACTAGTTTAATTCGGGTCCAAGAAAGCCCAAATCAAGTCGATGAAGCACAATTAAATGCTTTTGATTGTCAATTGAATGATCGAATGGACTCTAAGTTTGAGATATTTAAAGTAGAATTGAGCGTCTCAATGAGATGAACCTAACGAGTATAAGGTTGCTCAATTTTGAGGTCATTTACGAGCTCAAATCTCTTAAATCACCTATGATAAAATTGATCGATATGGTCCATCCGATCAGTTGATTAGGAAAATTATACGTCAAAAAACAAAAATATACCTTCAAGAAACCTATAAATAGACTTCCTTTCTTCACTTGGAGAGGAGGGGAAGAAGAGAATGAGAAGTGAAAATTCATAACGTATTCTGGAGAGAGGAGCGGAATACCACCGGCCTCCATAGCTGCGGTCATCCTCTGCCAACGACTATTGCCTGCCATCATCAACTACTGTTGTCAACCATTGCCTGCCATCACCATCTACTGTTGTCGACCACCAGCCATGAGCAACTACTGCCATGCCACCGTTGCAGTCAGATAACGGTTGTTCTTGAATTTCTAAAACTTGTATTTTCTGTGCTATATAAAGGCAAGTACAAATTTCATTGTAAGATTGTAACCACATTTTCCATATCATGAGAAAAGAGCATTCCTATGTATTTACAAACATACAGTGAATTACTTTGACTCAGTTAGGCCCCGCGATTTTTTCTCTTAGCATTCAGTGATTTTCATGTAAAAATCTTTGTATCTCTGTCCGCTAAATTTTCTTATCTGTATATGTGCTAAATTTTCATAATACCATACTTATGACATACTTGAATGTTTCAATTATTTTAGGATTACAACTAATTAATATCATATAGAATAATTTTTTAGTTAAAAATGATAATATATAATTAGTTTTAAAAATGGTGGTGGATGCAAAATGGCTTAATTAAGTTTTTTTGTCTGGCTTCATCTGTCGTGGCATGCATTTCATACACAGTCAAAGATCATGTGCTTTCGATCTTATCTATTATTTGATTTAGGTGTACCATAAAACATATAAATTGTCATATATTGATTTGATATGAATGATTTTCCTGAGGATGGAAAATATGAATATTATATGAATTATTTTTAGAAAAGTTTGTTGGAAAAAAAGTCTGCATTATGTATGTTTAGAGTTGTGAACGATCCGATTTATGAGTAATTTGGGGTCAGCTCGAAAGGCTTGAATGAGACTCAAAATTGGCTTGTGGTTTGTTGTGCTTGTATTCAAGCAAGCTCAGCTCAAAACTGAATTAAGGGGGACTTGGCACGAAATCGAAATGAGCTAACTAGAATTGAACTATTCAGATTAATTGAAGCTTAAAATTTTAAACCAGCCATCTCATGTTGGTTGAGTCAAATCTTTGTTCGTATTCGGCTCGTTTATATATCGAACACAAAAAAATATTTGTGTTATACTCATTAACTTAACGAACGAATCAAACATGAATTTCTTAAGGAATTGAACACGAACAGCAAGCTGTTTTGGCAGCGGGTGTTCTCTCCCTCCATAAAACCTACGAAAATTACAAATCATGTCAAATTTATAGTTAATAAATTAATATATTTAAAACAAACTTTTATAAAAATACCAAAACAAGTCTAAATCAATCTGACTTGACTTTATTTGGACTCACGCAGGGACCAGCTGACCGCCCAATTTTTTGGCTTAAAGTTATCTACTAATAATATTATGTAACAACCTTATTTTTCCAACGGCCAGCCTCGAGGACTTAATAACTAGGCAGTAACCCTTAAACATCGTTAAAAAAAGATGTGTATTAAGAAAATAGTTCCCCAATATTTAAGTTACATTATTTAATTAAAATCACCACAAACAATAAATATGACATGCAAGCTGAGTAAGAAGTATGTCTAAAAATAACGATGGATATAATGCAATATTTTACTTTTATACTTAAAACTAACCTTTTATATCACAAGTGGCACAGTTTTGACAATTGATTCAAATAAATAAAATTATGATATTATCATTTCTAAATGAGCGTTCTTAAACTATATACATTTGTACATTTGTGGGTGTGTCTAGGGTGGCAAATTGATAGGTAACTGATGTGTTATTCTCCTCTGACCAGGGTTCAATCCCTACCGCAACAAATAACACATAAGGTAGTCATATTTGTAAATACCCCCCTTTGATATATATATATATATA